GTCTGCCAGCAAAATGAAAACTTGGATCCCTCCATTTTTGAGAAGTGCCACTCAGGCTTCCCACACCTCTGGAAAACCTACAATTGTTATAATCCTTGGTTGGCTACCATAGGTCACACACAGTAGTTTAACAACAGCTTCCCACTAAAAAGGGCGCAGTTCAAAGACTCCGATCCATCGTCCAGATGTGAGCATTCCAGGTCACAGTCATATAAATCACAGATCACCTGACAACAGCACAAAACTAGTCACACCAATCAGGGAAAAGCAGCCGAGGGACAGGGAACATGCTCAGATCAGCTGGACAGAGCTTCAATAGCCAGGCAGGGTGGGAAAACCTCTTCACAGAGCACAGGACCAGCCTGCACCCAGAAGGGCAAAACACCACATCCTTCCCTCCCCACAGCAGAGAGGGCCACACTTCTAGAAAGGAATGGAAGCTGCCCTTCACAGCCTGGGGCGGGCAGGTAGAGACCTTAGCCAGCAACACCTGAAACGGCGTGCAGAATCTCAGGAGTGTCTCAGAATTACTGCGAAACAGGAGACCAGATGGGGAAAACATTCCCAACATGCAGACCTGACATGGCTCTTCATTCCCGATCTCCCCCAGGCGATGTGGTAACGTGAAGAAAACCCCATGAAAAACTGGGTGAAATACCAGAGCAAGCACTGGACAAAGCACAGACACAGCACGTGCACACACAGGTGAACACGTGCATGGCCTGCCCCAAGCAGCCAACAGCCCAACTGCACAAGGACAGAGCTACTGGAATCCGATCCTGCTGATGGCATTTAAAATGGACCAGTCACTCTAGCTAATGCCCCACTTGGATGCTGCCTTCTGAAGTTTCACGGAGACATGCTGACACTTCCATAGAGAGCGGACGGTTAACTCCCAGTTGTTAGAGGCGGTCCAGCGGTTCCACTCCTAAGGAGGAACTCAGAGACACACAAGTGCATCAGCAGAAGGCCACACCCAAACACTCCCTGCAGCTTTATTCAAAAGAGACAGGACCTGGAAGTCACCACACATCCCCCCCGCCAGTGAATGGCAAGTGACTTCCTGGAACTCAGCTACACACCCACAGAAGAGGCTGCCAGCAGGTGTGATTCAAGAAGGGACAAACAAAAACGCTGCAAAACGAACTTTTTCCCATGTTCCCCAGACAGAAACCTGAAGAAATCACAGTGACTGCATAGGAAGGTGAGGGCACAGCAGAGGCAAGGTTACGGCCCCGTGGCACAGAGAGACGCCTGCCCGGCCAGTCCCAACAGCTGCAGGTGGCACTCAGCCATACGCCTGGCCCACATGTTGCGCCCATGCTGGTAAGCTGCAAGGAGTAGCAGATGCCACTCCCTTGACAGATGCTAAGAGGGGCAACTTACATACTGCCTTTTCACTCATTGGTAGTTTCTAAACTTCCTATAATTACATCATTTCTTTTAGAGTAAAAGGGGAATTTGGGGGCCGGGGATTTAGCTCAGTGGCCTAAGGGCCTGCCTGGCAAGCATGAGGTCTGGAGTTAGATCCCTGGTACCAAAAAAGGGGCGGGGTGGAGGGGGGGTCAACAGAAAACTTACAGAATTGTTACAGTTGCAGAATTATTATGATTGACACATTGTGTCAATGTAAATTCAGAAGTTTAATCCAGAGAATTAGCAGGGAGCTGGAATCCTCACTGTGTAAATAGCCTCATCCTGTGCCAGAGACAGCACAGAGATTTGTAAGTGCTGCACCCCCCTGGGCGGGGAGGGGTGGTAGCCAGCATACAGTATAAGGGAAGAAAAGAAGCCTGCTCTTCCCTGCCTTCTGCTCAGGCTGCTGCCTTGAAGTGTTGCCCTGTGCCATGCCACCCTGTCTTGGCGTTAGCTGACTATGCACTGAAACCTCCACAAACTAAACAAATCTTTTCTTCCCCAATTTTGGGTATCAGGTATTTTGTCCCACAATGAGACAAAAGTAATCAAGACAGAATTCGGTACCAGTGGAAGTGGGTTATTGCTGTGACTTTACTTGAGCATGTGGTTCAAGAGCCTTTGGGAATGGCTTGTGGGAAGGTTTGAAGATGTCTCCTGAATGTACAGAGCTGGAAAGCTTTGGGCTTTTCTGCATGGGAGATTTTAGTCAGAGCTCAGGAGACCAGAAGCCCGACAGAAAGCCTGCTGATGAAGGCTGGGCTTGGGAGGTTTCTGCTGGAAAGAAGGACTCCAGACAACATGTGCTATGGCTTGGCAGAAAGTTTGTCTGCATTTTGCTCGTGTCCAGAGACTTTGGCTGAGACTAAGATTAAGGTTGGTAAACTAATTAATCTGGCAGAATAAATTTCAGAGCAGTCCAATGCTGAGGCAGTGGCATGGCTACTGCTGGGGAGTTTTAGCCAGGTTTATGTTGCAAATCAAGAGCAAAGATCCCAGCAGGATGATTTAAAACACTGTGAGTCTGGCCAGAAAGGAGGCTCCAGTGAAGCTGTAGACTGCAGAGATGGAGCTGAGCAAAACCTCAGTTGCTGAGAAGAAACAGAATAGAAAAGATGGCCTGAAGGCACAACAGAAAGCAGCAAGTCTCAAACCTTTGTAGCCTCCAAATTGCAAAGTGGAAGACTTTGCTTACAGGAGAAAGCCTCAGAATACCAGGTTCCAGAATGGCAGTGGAGGTTCCAGAATGGAGACAGCATAGAGAACCTGTTCCTCACAATCAGCTTCAGAGAGCCCAGCCATCCAGGCACTCGACCCCTAACCCAGGAGACAGGAAGCCTGGCTACTGCTCCAGCTGGCAGCAGACCTTAGCACGTCTATGTGGTACTGGTTTTATTTGCATACAGAATGCAAGAATTCTGAGGTTGAAAAGGCTTCTGCCTTGATTTCAGACGGTCTGGAAGGCCAGGCAGTGCGCCCCTGAGAGAACAGCGTGTGAAGCTGTGAGTTTGAAGCCAAAGGTGCAGTGGAGACCCCAGGAGTTTGGAAAAGCCAGGAGCGTGGATCATCTAGGGAAACCTGTAATGAGGGAGCAAAGCCAGCCCAAGAGAGAAGCCGTGGGACAGGTAACCACCAGAAGTGGCTAAGGATGAAGTCACACAAACCCTTTGGAGCTCACAATTTGCTACATATTGCCTCAAATGGGCACACAGAACTCTAGGACTTAATGTTTGCCCTGCCAGATTCTGGAGTGCTTTTGTCTCAATCCTTTGTACCCTCCTGTTTGTAACTTTTGGAGCCAGAAGGTTGAAAGTGTTTCTTTGTTTTCATTTATACAGGTGTTTGCAGCTAAGAGTTTGTCTTACAGGGGAGGCTTAAGACTTGAACTTTTCAGCAGTGCTGAAACTGTTAGGACTTTGGGAGCTCTTGCAGATGGAGTAAATGCTTTTTGCATAAAGGATTGCATGAGTCTTTGGGGGTCCAAGAACAAAATGTTGTTTCTAATGTAATGTTGATAGACTTAATGCTGGTTCTTAAGGATTTTTAAACTGTGTTATAATGTTCAAGTTGCAAAATGTTAAGAATAACAGACCTTTGTATCTGGAGGCTGGTTTAAAGAAATATGTCTGGTTGCCAAGTTGATAAGGGGTGGATTGTTATAATTGATACACTGTGTGAACCCCAGAAGTTTAGAAGTTTAACCCAGAGACTCAGCAGGGAGCCAGGATCCTCACTGTGTATATATCCTCATCCTGTACAGGAGGCAGCACAGAGATTTTGTGAGGGCTACACCAGCCCTGGCGGGGAGGGGTAGTAGCCAGCATACAGTATAAGGGAGGAAAAGAGGCCTGTTCTTCCCTGCCTTTTGCTCTGGCTGCAGCATTGAAGCATTACCCCTGTGCAATGCCAGCCTGCCTTGGAGCCAACTGAGTATGAACTGAAACCTCCACAAACTGTAAATTAAATAAATCTTCTTTCCCTAATTTTGGCTATCAGGTATTTTGTCCCAGCAACAGAGAAAAGTAACCAAGACAGGAATGTTCTGCCCATGGGAAACTCCTGCTCAGGATTCAGAAAGGTCGCCCAGGGGCCAAGTCTCTGTGGAAATGTGCCCTGGTCATGAACCCTTTCCCCACCCAGAGTGGGAACTAAAACTGTGGCCTCAGCACAGAGCTGTATACCCAGCACCACGTTCTATACTTTTGATTTGGAGGCTAAACTGCTAAATTGTCCAAACTGGGCTCAAATTTGCAATCCCACTGCCTCAGCCTCTCAGAGTAATGGGATCACCACCCACCCATGTGCCCCACCATGCCAGGCTCAAAAGAATCATTTTAAAACCAAATCCCTTCAGGCGCCACATAAAAGTGGTACCCACACAGGAGGTGCCCTAAAGGGGCACTGAGCAGCATCCAGGTCCAAACTAGACCCAGCGGCTCTATGGTGAGACTGAGCAAAGCGCCCCAGGCTAGCAAGCTCACAGAGATGGGCAGTGTCCACCCAACTGATTGCCCAAAGCCACTGATCCACGACCAGGCTGGCTGAGTCACTCCTGGCCTGAGCCTTCCCCTGACATAAAGACCTGCCCATCACAGCAGTAGCTGAAGTCTCTAAAAGGCGCCATGGGCCCAGTGGGTGCTCGCCCTGCATGATGTCTTCCTCAAACTGAGGCAGCTTTAGCTAGGGCCAGGCAATCTTATCACCTCTGCCCCTGAACACAGTTTTGCAGACAACGCCTGCATTAAGGTCTGGATGTGAATAATTCCACGGCGTGCCTTCTGTGCACAAGGAAAGACTGCACTACACTTTCACGCATGAAAGGGAGAAGTGGCATTCAGGAAAATACTGGGGGTCTCCTAAGGACCGAAGTACCCTCTGAAATGGAACGCTCCTACTGCACACAAGGGCCAAAGAAAAAGCAAAATTTACTGTTTGTTCCCAGTCACATAGGCACTACAACCCTAATCGCACTCGTGCGCCACTCAACACTTGGGCCGAGGCCTGTCTCAAATCCTAGGATCAAGTAGTCAGGTCCAGAGCAAGGGACAAGCAGCATGCAGTAGGAAAGGGCCCCCAGCACCTACCTTGTTGATCCAGAACACCATGGCATCCTCGAGGTCATAGGGAAGCTCTTTGGAGGCACTGAACGTGGAAAAGCGCTTGACACTGGCCACCACCTTCTCGATGCTGATCATCTCCACAGTGTATGCCATCATCAGGGCGTCCACCATCGCCATGTGGGCACTCTGAAGGCAGAGGCAACAGCTGGTACCCAAAGCACCTCCCTCCGTGTCCCTACTGGGGGTCCCCACCCAGACTCACTCGTTGCTTACTCTGCTCCCCACATGAAGAGACACAAACCTGTGACCTATGCATCCCTCATTCCCTCAAGCTTCAGGATTGGCAGGACACAGACAGCTGAAGTTGCCAGGGCCAGCGCTGAGCTCTGGCTCCCTCACCTCCTCCCAACCCTGCAGCCCAATAAGGCCCTGGGGAGGAGAATCCTCACGGGAAAGCTGTGCCTTCTCACCACTTTCTCAGGATGCAAAGGACCTCCCCTTCACCCTCAACTCCACCCTTAAACAAGCCCAAATGGAAAAACCCTGAAAGCAAAAAGCCTGTGGAGAGCGTAACAAAGAAAGGCAGGGGCACAGGGGCCCTAGAGCCCACAGGGCAGGACACGCGGCAGCAGCAGCAGTAGCAAGGCTTTAAACACAGGGACAGAGGCCACAGATACGTGCAGCCTTCCCACACAAGGCTCAACCACTGGGCCACGGTGCCTGCAGGGACTGGCTCAGTACAACACCAGTACAGTGTCCACTGAGAAAGAGCTCCGCAGTCTGCAAGAGTCACGAACTTAGAGAGGAGCCCCCTGTATCTGCACAGACCTCTGCTCCCCAGGGCTGTCCACCCCCACTCACCATCTTTATGGGGGCGTGGCCGAGGTCAGCATCCGTCACCGGGGTGTCGTCACTCTCCATCACATAGATGCCTTTCCTGGACAGGGCCTGGATGACTGACTGGTGTCCTTGCAAGGCAGCCGCCTGGTCCCCTTTGAGGATGAGACTGCAGACACGACAGTAGAGCTCGCTGGAAAGCAGCAGTTTGATGACGGGTGGTTTGATATGCTCCTGTTCATACTGATCGATGTAAAAAGGGTCTCGGAGATCCTCAGGGATATTGTCTAAGGCAAGAGACAGCACTATGTGAGCGAGACACAGACACAGAGAGGGCCAGGCCCACTGCACTGCTGGCCCCACAGGACACAAGGGGAGCCTCTTGGGGCAGGCCTGGCAAAACTGCGATTGACAAACTGGACAACTGTCAGACTTGCAAATCCCGGTGCGCTGTACCAGCAGAGCCTAACCTGCCACAGCCCACAGGTGCAGCTCACCCTGGAGACCCAGACTTGGACACACGGCGCAGAGAAACCAGGCATCACCACCCGATGACCTGAGCAGGGTGTCCACAGGGCCTCCCCGACCTTGGGATGGAGGTGACAGCGGGGCTGCACAGCCATTCTCTAGTGCTGCCGTAACCTCGATGGCGACGAATTGCAGCAACCACCTTTCCTTCTCCTCAGGTCATCTGCCTTCAGCTCTCTATACAACCGTCTCTTCACATCTCTGGGCTTCGTCGAATCAGGGCAAAGGACCACACTCAAGGCTGGAGAGGCAGCCGATTGCAGCCACAGCCGCTCCTGTGCTGCCCAACATGCACACATACACAAACCACCATGGGCACGCAGGGCAAGTGCACTGCCACTGCTGTGTTCTTTAGGCTTCTGCAAAACAAAGTCCCACAGGAAGCTCTGTACCCAGCACCAAGCAGCCACAAACCCTGCTGAGGCTGCAGCACTGTCCCTATCTCCAGAAGTGCAGAAAGGGCCACCACCTTCTGGAGGGCTGCAGAAGAAGCCCACACACACCCAGCCCAGAAGCAGCCAAGGACACTGGTGCTGCACATGCTGCTGGGGCGCCCATGTCCTCTAGCACCTGTCAGGTCCAAGTTACAAGGCCCATAGAGCGGGGCAGCGGCGCTTCAGTGTCCCTCCGCAGCACCCCTATGTCTGCTCCTTTTCCTCCTCACGGGGCTACTTTCTGAGCCCAAGTCGGACTGAGCATGTGGCCTGCCCCTGCCCCACGCTCCCCACACTCCCCTTGGCTTCCTCTTCCTGCACAGTGTGGCTGGCATCCATAGGATGCTGCGGTCCTGACTCATTGGGCTGCACACATGGCAACCCTGAGGATGGCAGGCTTGGCTCAGGCTCAGTGGATGTTAGCAGGCTCAGATCCCACAGCCGAGCACACTGGGCAGCTGCCGACCCTGAAACTACCAGAGTTCCAAATGAGACTGGACCCATAGCAGAAGGAATCAGCCCAATATGGAGCTTAATCTTGGGCCTCTGATTCACAGTGACATGAGGACAGGGACAAATGGGGGCAGGAGCCACCCCACGGGTCATAGTGGCCAGGGACAGACAGGCGTCACAAGGTACAAGTCAGGTGGAGTGGGTGGAAGGCAGAGAAGGAAGAACACAGGGCCCAGAGTCCTGTGACCCAGCCATGGTCCAAGAAGCTCTCGCAGGAAAAGGCTGCATTGTGGCAGCAGCCCAGTGGCCAGGGCTCCTGGTCAGAGCCACCATCACCTCCCTCTACTTTCCTTCCACATCACAGCCACCGGAGTCTTGATCTTTTCCAGAGATGGCAAGGGACACATCCTACCCCCACCTCAGGTGATCCCATTCTGCCCAGGGGATCAGAAGACCCCGGCAGTTATGCAGCAACCACCGAAAGCATACTCTGGCCCTGGCCTTCCCTGAACCTGAACCATCTCTGTGACATCTCCATGTGACATCTGGGGCCCGAGTGCTGCTGGCTAGCCCAGGCCACCCTCCCCTCTCACCTGGAAAACTGGGAAGGCTCTACCTCAGGAGAGCAGATACAGAGCTCAGAGGACTGCACAGCGTGCTGCCTCTCTGGGTGCTGGAGTTGAGGCGCAGAGCCCCAGGGCTGTGTGGATGAGTCTGAGCCAAGCCCTTCTGTGTGCTCCCTCAGCCTCGCCACAGGAGCCAGCTCACTTAGGACAGGCAGCCACACCCCATACCCCCCCCATCACTTGGACGTGCAGCACAGGCCACCAGGAGCCTGATGTGTCCAGTTCACCAGTCAACAGCTATTTTTAAGTTGGCTTTGTGAACGCCACGAGTCTATTTCTGGTGACTTAATTTTCATCTCTTCTATGAACCAATGAGACAGAATTACTCAACAATGACTGAGCACCTGGGTAAGCCAGGAAAGTAGAGAAACACAGGGGAGCTGAAGCCTGAGAGCAACAGCACTGAGACGGAGGCTCCGACAAGCATGAAGAAGCCACCCGGCACCGTCCACATGGCATGGGCGTCCACATGGCATGGGCGGGAGGAGGCCCAACAACCTCAACACCACCCTGCATGGAATCTTAGCAGCTAACACCACTGCACACAGCTGCCCAGAAGACACAGTCAGGGTTTCTCAATGCACTCAGCAAACACTCAGCTGAGTACCTGCTACCTGCCTGCCTCACACAGGGTTGTCAAGGGTGAGCAGGCCCAGGCACTCTGGGCGCATATAGTGAGGACAGGCGAGGCTGGGCCAGTCAGGGCTGGAAGCTGGGGGATGAGGACATTCGATCTGCTGTTGCCTCCACTCGAAGTGGGGAGGACAGGTGTGGACACCAGGAGGTTATTCTAGTTTGATGATAGCAAGTGCCTGGGACAAAGGTGGAGGTGTTGGCTCTCAGCTACAGATGTGTGAGCTCAAAACAGAAAGATGCCCAACTCCTGATTCTGCTGGCCAAAACCTGCTACTAAGACAGGAGCCAGGGAGCGGATGGGGAAGGAGGAACTTTGTCCCTGCAGGAGCTCTGAGTGCTCACAGGGCTCTCCCACAGAGATCAGAGGCACAGGACAAAGGGATGGCATGTGGCGCCTGCCATCCATACATGAAAACTAACACCCACAGGGGCTGTACCTCCTAGTCAGAGGGCACGGAGAGAAGCGAGGTTGGTCGGAGCAGACTCACAGGGCATCCAGTATCAGGCAGGCCCAAGGAAGAAGCCAAAGGAAGGGTCTGAGAGGTGACTGGGCACAGCACAGGGCACTGGAGGGCTCAGAAGAGGAAGACCTCTCTAAGAGAGAGAGGGACCACCCACCAGCACTGAAAAGACCAAGGGCAAAATGCTGAAGAATGCCCATTGGGCTGAGCAGCAGGAAAGAGCCCCAGGATCAGGGAGGCGTGGCAGTCACAAAAGGAATGCAGGAAGGGAGGCAGGGATGCAGGCTCTGCTCTGAGGGACATGCGGGTCCAGAATTCAGTTTTAAGGGCTAGAGAGACATGCATAGGTTTCACTGCTGCTGCTGAACACCAGCCTGGGTCAGGGGTGGGGTAAGGAAGAGGCCACGCTGACATCTGGGAAAGTGGGCACCAAAGTGGGGTGCAGGGGAAGGGGAGAGCAGTGAGTGATGATCGCATGGAGACTGAGGCAGGGCCCAGGGACAGCACACAGCACCAGGGCACAGTCACGCCTCTCTGGAACCTGCCAGATCAGGAAAGGCCCTCAGAAGGGAGTGAGGACCCTGGCAAGCCACAGCCCATGTGAGGAGCATGGCCAGCAGGGTTGCAGCCTGCCCTTTTGCTTGGCCTCTGAACCTCGAGCCCTTGTGTGCTCAGGGGACTGGAAGTAGCCCTGGCTGGGCTGCGTGAGGACCTGGATCTACCCACATTGAGCCCCTGCAGCAGGCACAGCAGAGTGTGAGGAACCACAAGGCAGGCCTCAGCGTAGCAGCATTCTCATCACCAGAGCCTCTATTGCAGATGCACAGAAGCAGCTCTGCCACACTGTGTCTGAGCTGGGCTGTGGCGAACGTGCCCCATCAGTCCCAGCTCTTCCACAGCAGAGGCCGCAGGCTATAGGCAGGCCCAGCCATAGCCACCACCTCACCCAAAGCTTCACGCTCCCCCACTCACAGCTCCATCAACTCGTGGCAAGGAATAACAAGAGCCAGCCATGTGCAGGACCCCACAGCTCACCTGTGCCAGGAGCTCACTGGCTACCTGCCCCGAAGCACAGCAAAATGATGACCCTCGGGCTAGGAGGTGTGCCAGAAGGGGCCTCCAAGAGGAGGTAGCTAAAGATCTTCTACCTCCAGACACCACTACCACACCCCAACCAAACCCCAACTCTACCCTGGAGATGCCAGGCACAGCGGCCCATGCCTGCAGGCCCCACACTGAGGAGGCTAGGGATGCTTAGCCCAGCAGTTTCTGACCCTCTGAATGTACAGCAAGACCCCACCTCCAAACTACAAGGGTTGGGGAGCAGCTTTTGGGTAACACACTCGCCCAGCAAGCACAAGGCCTGGGTTTGGGCTCCAGTGCCACAGTAACAATAGAAAATAAAAACAAAAGGCTGACCTGGCTACTTCAGGGCAGTACCTATCTACCCACGTGCACCACGCGGAGCCACGGCCCCACACTCAAGGGGCAGAAGAGCAAATGGTGCAGGGAGGTGGTTTCCTTGCCACCCCTGCTGCATAAGGTCAGGTGTGAAGGAAGACAGTCCCCAACAGAAGGACAGAAGATCTCTGGTCATGCATGAAATAAAGCCCACAGCATAGTGACAACTACAGAGCCATGTGAACCCAGGTCTCATGCAGTGCCCACCCAGAGGGCACAGCCATGAAGACTCACCAGCAGTGAAGACTCACCAGCAGTATACCAGTCCCTGGGGCTGGGGACAGCTGGTAAACAGACAGAGCACCAGCACCCTCAATTCCTAACAGAGCCTGCAGAGTTGCAAAATGCACTGTCCCAAATGCCCAGTGTACCTCTCAAATCCCTCAAGAAACAAGAAAAACAAACACAAGGAAACCAGTAACTCTCAAGAGAAAATCAACAGATGGCGACCCAAATGTTGGAACTGTCCAACAAAGACTTTAAGGGATTATTACAACTGTGCTCCAGAAGCCAGGGCAAGCACCGGAGCAGGGAGAAAACCCCAACACAAAACTCTAAGAAAACTCAGAAAAGCAGCCCAGTGTGTAGGGAAACCAAAAACCACAACAGGAGGCAGCCAGTGCCTGAGGGCAGGAAGATGGGCAGAAACCTGCACAGCCTGCCACCTGTCCAGGCTGCCCTGACTTCA